TCACCAAACACCACTCTAGTACAGTCTCGAATTCTGCTGTTTTTTAGGAGTGTTGATCTCCATGCCCCCCCCCCTTCCCCCTCGGTTCTCACTGCCAACCACCATGTCTGTTCTGTGTCCTGTAGTTATGTAGGGACCAGTGAGATCTATGGGGAACCCAGTACTTTCCAGTAGGGATGCCCCAATACAGTTTTTTCGGTACTCCCCGATACCGGAAATCCCATTAAGGAAGCCGAGCGGCATGTAATGACTCACTGCCCAGCTTCCTGATTAGCCGGGAAGCCGTCTCCATGCTGCCTCGTCACCAGGTGACAAGGAAGCATGGAGCCAGCTTTCTGGCCAAGCTGGGGGGGTGGCTAGTGACTCGCCACCCGGCTTCCTGATCGGCCAGCTGACCAATCAGGAAGCCAGGGGGCGGGTAATGACTCGCTGCCTGGCTTCCTGATACCAGAAGTTCCAGTATCGGGATAAGTATTGGGAACATTTGGGCGAGCACGAGATACTGTTATCGGTATCAGTGCATCCCTACTTTCCAGTGCATGTCACATACCATGGTGGAGTCTGAGTTGATAAGGGAGGCCTTCATTGCAGCTCCAGTCCCAGAGCCCCTGGATGGCAGAAAAGGTGGTGGGGACACGGAGTAGCACGAGCGCCGCATTACGTCACCATGGCAGGTAAGGTCAGTCTCTGTAATGCCAATGAGTCCTGGGCAGGATTCAGGTGCAAGGTTCCAGAAAAGCCGTAGTCAAACTATCCGGTACGACAACAGGCGGGCCGAGCAGTACCAAGTGACAGCAGGAGTAAAGTCAGGAACAAGCTCAGGTCAGAGAAGTACAAGGCGGCGGGCAGGAGCGGTAGTCAAAGAACAAGCCGGGGTCACGGAACAAAGAGTAGCGTGAAGAGTCAAACAAACCGGGTTGATAATGAATGAATAATCAGACCATAGGGTCTCAGGAACACAGGAAGGCATCACTCAGCATGGAGACTAGGATGTCACAGCCTTAAATAGCGTTTTGGCTCCACAGCTCATAATAATCGCATGCACATGCCGAGAAGCGCTGCGCAGACCTGCGCAGAGGCACACAGCTGTGTACAATTCTGTGTCAATCTATGCACATGTGCAGAGCTTCAGCCGCACAGGCGAGTTCTGGCTTCCTGACAGCCGGATATTCTTGTACGGAGCGGTTTGCCCGCGCCGCAGCTGGAAAGATGTTTACAGTCTTCCTTTGCAGGGTATTGGCTTGGGTACTTATCAAATGCATGACAGGGTCTCTTTAATGACCCGTTCC